TCATTAATTAAATTGTATTGTTCTTTCGTATAAATAAATATGTAAATCATCATGTGCCATTATTAACGTGCAACGCACGTTCATAGATGCTAGTATAGAAAAAGGCAAAAACTAACATTTATTGCAAAAGTTTTATTTTTATATTTTTCACAAGTATGTATAAAATATTAATATCTAAATAGCACAAAAGCCAAAAAAGAATAAAATAATGAATGATTCCCTTTGAATAAATTAAAAGCCATCTCCCATTGTGTTTCCGTAATAGTTGGATTTGTCAATTTCGGTAGCTAGCCGTTAGAATTAATTTTGGATTCCTCTATCTTCTTTCTTTTTTTAAATTTCTTTGCATTAGCCTTCATTTTGCTGTGTACAATTATGTCTTATTTCATAAGCAATTTCTTTATGCTTAATTTTAAATTTTAGTTAATATATAGTTTCTCTCTTTTTAGTGATACAATATTAATTTATATAATGGAATATAATTTGAGTTGTATCATTTATTAGTTTTTGAAAAACATGTTTTGAGTAATAGAGGTTTTGAGTCTTTGAAAATAATTGTCATATAACTCAACAATTAAATTGAAAAAGTTAACCCAAAAGTAATGATAATTAATCGAGTCAAACAAAATTTTTAATTAAGCTAGTCTTTAAGAAAATTTTCTAATTGGAGGCATACATTCATGAAATATTATTTTTTTGTATTTTTATCCAAGAACATAATTAAATCAAGCTTAAAAAAGATGAAGTAAAATCGAACTTATTTGTCTTTTTATAAATAAAAGACCTAACTGGATTAACCAAAAATTAACTGAATCATCCATTATTTCTATTTAGTCTTTGTGGCTGAATCATATATATATATATAGAGAGAGAGAGAGTACCCGTAACCTTCAAATCCTGGATTAGGTTTTGATGCCATGTTAAATTGATCTACTTATCTATTAACAGTGGCTTCTATTTATCTAGTTAACCATATGTTCCATACAATGTATCTCTCTCTACATACTCTTTGATTCAAAATTGGGCTAAAGAAACAAAAGGAGTGGAAAAAGAGAGAAGACGGGAGAAAGCATGCAAAAAATACATGAAGTATCAAGCTTGAGGAGCTTTTCATGCATTTTTACCTCTCCAGTTCTTGTTTGCAGAGAGGGCAACAAGATATAATTCTAAGCCATTGGTCCACACACTTAAGATGAAATATATGAGAACAAGGCAATTCTCTGATCTCTTCCTTATCTCCGTACTTTGCTAAGCATATACAACATTCCTGTTGTGACACAAAAATTTGTTTAGGCTTTGATTTTAACTTTTGTATATTAAAACTGTAATTACAAAAAGGTCACCTAAACGATATTATAGGTAAGTATCTGTAAAAAAAGTAAGATTTGTGATCTTAAAAATAAGTCAAATTATACAATAATAGCATAATTTTTTTAACCTATATAAGTGTATAAGTTATATAACCCTTTGGACTTTGAGTTTAATGTTTATCCATTAACAATTCAAAGGAAATTTTATACGATTAGGTCCCTAAAACATAATTAGGTCATCTTTTATGATAAGTTAAAATGCAGTTGCAAAACTTTTTTACACTGTCAATGTAGATAAGTTAAATATTTAGACTTTGAGTTTAACTTTATGCGTTAATAGTGTAAAAGAAGCTTTGCCGGATTATATTAGGTAAAAGATAACTATAAATAACCATCTATTAAAAATGAGATTACTAGCTTGAAAATATACAACAGGTTACTTGTATTAAAAAAAAATGATATTTCTAACAATGCATATAAGTTAAATCTTTAGATTTTGACATGGTAAAAAAAAATTACACGACTAAATCATCTAAAAGATATCTAGAGTGCATGAAAAATAGAATTAGTAGGTAAGATCACTTACCACATTTTCATTTTTGGGTTGTTCCTTGTACTTCCAACTGGGTAGATTGGAGAGTTGTTCATCAGAAGCCCCTCGATCTAGGGATCCCATGTTCATATTGTAGCCTAAAAAGCTACTCAGAATTGGGACACAGCAGCATAACAATAGAAACAATAGGAAGGGGAAAGAGTAGGTGACAGCATTCCAGGCAAGCAGAGAGATGCAGAGCAAGTGAAGTTTAGGAGCACGATGGTAAGACAAAAAGCGCGATTCAAACACCCAAACATTTCCCATCACAAACCATATGGCATAGAATAGCTCAACGCCGGTCCTGAATTTCTCCATCGCATGCAATGCCCTATCATATATATTGTTGAAATTTGCAAGTCTTAGTTTTATATTTATTATGCTTAAGGAAGAAATCCCACATATTTTTGCACAACATCTAATATTTCATATGATCATAGTCTGACAATTAGAGCGTGGATAACGTAACAACTTAGAAGATCAACTATTCGTCCTGCAGTGTTTTGCGATCTCCTTTTTGACTAACCTTGCATTACTTTTTTTGTTTTTGAATGAATAAACTAAATAAAAGAGAGGGAAAAAAGTACTTTATCACAACACAAGAGGGGACACTAAACATGCCTACAAACTGAGATTTAAATTCACTTGTAAAGGTGCACTCAATAATCATTGGATCATAGGCCACTCCTTGAGCTTTGCTGCACACATGTATATAGAGAGAGAAACATGGGTTCACGTGCCCTATGCTCTGCCTCCAGCACATTGATACACCCCTAGTTTAATTTCAACTATTGTTTAAAATTATCTTTAGGTTAGAACTCCGTTAGGGATCAAAGGTAAATGGAGTTTTTTAACCACGGATATATGAACGGACCAATTGAGTGAAACAGAGGGAAAGATTAAGCAATTTTCAAATAACATAGGAGCAAATATGACCTTTTCCTTTTGTTTCTTCTTATTACTCCAACATCATTTGTATATCCCCACTCAAGTAACACTCACTTCAAGTTCCAAACATCTTTCTGTTACACCCTGCCCACCATTGTCACGAGTAAGCCACTTTGTTTTCTTAATGTTTTTGGATTATGAAACCGTTTGAAATATTCGAGTTTTGGATGTTGGGCATCCTTGGACAAAAATAACATCAAAACTTCAAGAGTACTAGAGACAGCTAAAAGGGGTACAGAATGTGTACTAATTAATCACCTGGATTCATCATGGCTTCTTTGTTGCTCCATGTCAGAATCATCTCTTTGCTGCCTCACATAGAATGCCCAGTAGCGCCAGTAAAGCAACATGACACTAATAATACAGCCACAGACATATCCCAACACCCATATCCTCATTGGCCAAACTGGCTTCTCTTCCTTTGAAACAGCCAGTGTATATGAGGCCATAATTATTTGGACACTTAAGGCAATGCACTCCATCATCATCCAAGTCATTGAATTGAAGGGATTTGATCCAAGATCAGATCTTGAGCCATTCTGGTAGTGGAAAACCCTTCTTAGGAAACTAAACCACCTTGATCTTGATATTCTCATGGCCATTCTTATTAAGATTGAAGAATGGGAAATATTCCGAATAGACCTGTTTCTAGTTCCACCCACGCCAGACATTCTTTCATCTCCTGCTGCTGGTGAAATAATTGGTGGGAAAGATACAATAATGCTCGAATGGCAAAGCGACACTAGTGTAAGAAAGTATCGTGTATTCATCAGGGAATAATATTTAGTATGGACCTGATCGATCTGTATTAATAATAGGTGACTGTTATAATAAACACGATTTGATAACAAGAAAAAGAAAGCAGATATAACTAATATGCTACTTTAACAAGTAAAATTACAGTAATAGTGTAGACATTCTTTCCACTGACAGTGTATATAACTTAAATTCTTACCTATTGTCAACAGGGAGAAATTTCCAAGAACTTTCAACTTCTACTCATGCAAGTTATATGTTTCATTTTGGTAACTGCATGCACAAGACAACTTGTGAGTGTGCACAGAATTCCCATGCTTGAAATGATCTAACACCAGCTAATTATTCAACCTATTTTATGGTCCAATTTCAGCTTCACAATTTATATGCTGACAACTATTTTTGAAAAAATAACCTCTAATGCCATATTTCAAGAACTTTAACAGCAGGAATACCTGATAAATGAAGTGGTTGTACTCTAAAAGTATGATAACGGTGAAAGAAAATAGATACTGAGAGAGAGAGAGAGAGAGAGATGGAAATGGGAATAAAAGGAAATGCTTAAGAAGAGAGAGGCGAGATGGAGTTGAATCAACATGACAGGGGAAGCTGTTGAAGTTGGGTTCAGATGGTGACCAAGAATCGAACAGCTTTACTTTGATTCCAAGTGAACTTTTATGAGATGGTGAGAACCATAACCATTTTGCCTAACTTCCTGTGACGTTAATTTTCTTTTCTTTTTGTTTATTTAGGAAGCGAAGTAAAGCTGAAAGTTTGTAGTTCTTCAAATGGGCATATACTCACGAATTGAATTGAATTAGAACATCCGCAAAAGATAATTTACTTTTCTGACGTTAACCACTAGAAAGAGCCAGAATTTTTACTAAGGGGAGTCAAAATATAAAGAAATAAATATTGGATTTTGTATATATTTAATTAATATATTAAATACTTAAAAAGAGGGTGAATGGGAAATGGAGGGAAATGAAATTTTTGATTGAAATTTTAAGTTTCCCCCCTTGGCAAATGGACATTGTCCCATATTGGAAGAGGAAGAGGCTTTATGGGTATATAAGCAATTGCTCTTCTTCTAGCTCTTAAAGAGTTGAGAAGAAGGCAAGCCTCGCGCCGTCGTCGTCGCTCGCTCGGCTTCGGATTCGGATTTGGATTTGGATTGGTCAAATGATTGATTGATTAGCTTTTTGGACCAAATTTATTTGTTAATAGTAAAATATTAACAGAAATGTTATTAAATATTTATTTTAATAACAGAATATTAATATTAAATATTAATATTAAATCCAATCCGTTTTTCTGTTTTGGTAACAGAAAAGTAACTGCCCTCTTCAATTTTCCCTCTTTATTTTCCCTCTTTATTGTTGAGTAAATGGCCATTTATGTAATGGCATTTATGTTGTGGCCGTTTTGCATGAACAGTCATTCTGAAGAGTTGCACCTCTTCAAATTTCAGCCCAACTTTGGCTATAAATACAACACTATTCTGCTCAGAATTTCACTATGATTTTCTGAGTTTCTTCTCCTTCTTCTGCATACTTTTAGCATCAAAAAAAGCAAAAGTAAATGTGATTTGCTTCCGAACTTTGTGTTCGCTGAAACACTGGGGTTTGCAGTACCACTACACTAGTGTGTAATTCGTTCTATCCTGGGAAGAAGTAATCCATAACCTTGGGTACTAGGAGGGGATTAAATTCCTTAAGGAAACACTGTGAATTCAGCGGGCTCGAATTGGTTTTCTGTCATTTCTGTTTATGTTCATTTCTGTTTATATTCGTTTATATTTCTAGAATTATTTTACTAATACAGTGTACTAACAAGCTTAAGGAATTTAGATATATTTTCTGTATTTGTACTTACTGTTTCTGGAGAGTAAAACCTTTGTGGTTTTGTACTCTATTGGAGATTAAAATCTACGTGATTTTAACGTTTGTGTCATTCTTTTATAGAAATGACTTATGAGAATGAGAACCAAGCTGTTCCAATGGTGACTGCCAATACCTCAACAAGCAAAACGACACCGGCAGCATTGGCACCGGCGGAGAAACCCGAAAAATTTTCCGGGATTGATTTCAAGCGCTGGCAGCAAAAGATGTTCTTCTATTTGACTACTCTAAGTCTCCAGAAGTTCATCAAGGAAGATGTTCCTGTGCTGTCCGATGAAACTCCAGAAACTGAACGCTTTCTCGTGATTGAGGTGTGGAAGCATTCAGATTTTTTGTGCAAGAATTATATTCTAAGGCGGGCTGGAGGATACTTTGTATAACGTCTACAGTGGCGTGGAAACGTCAAAAGCATTGTGGACTGCGCTTGAAAAGAAATACAAAACCGAAGATGTCGGGTTGAAAAAGTTTGTTGCTGCAAAGTTTTTGGACTACAAAATGGTAGATAGCAAGTCTGTTATTACCCAAGTCCAGGAATTGCAAGTGATTATTCATGATCTCCTTGCTGAAGGTATAAATCAAATTAATATTGATGTTGAAAGTAGTGATCTTAGTATTTTTACTAACAGAAATTTCATTGAAGGTCTTGTCATCAATGAAGCATTTCAAGTAGCAGCGATGATTGAGAAGTTGCCTCCTTTGTGGAAGGACTTCAAAAACTACTTGAAACACAAACGCAAGGAGATGTCCCTTGAAGATCTCATTGTTCGGTTGAGAATCGAAGAGTACAACAAAGCTGCTGAAAAGAGAGACCGTGGAACTCAACAAAATGGGAGAAAATATTTGTTTAAGAGACAAAAAGAGGAAGAAGGCTTCTGACCAAAAATACAACCCAACAGAAGCGGTTCAGTTGGAAATTTGCTACAGAACTGTTGGGAAAAACGCGGACCAAATCTACAGAGTGTCGAGCTCCCGAGAAAAGACAAGAAGAAGGGTCAAGCTAGCAAACATCGGTTAAAAGCATGATGATGTTGATGGACTTATGTGCCATGCTTTCCGAATGCAACTTGGTGGGCAATCCTAAAGAATGGGATGTGGGAAGATATTTCTCAAAAATGACTTCTGGCAAAGTGGTGACTTTGACTAAACCTGTTTAATCGGGCGGTCTGGGACGGGCTGCGACACAAAAAACTCAGCCCGTCGGGTTTTCGGGGCGGGGTTGTTATCGATCTGGGGTTAACGGGCTGGGGCGGCTATGGATTTTTCGGGTTTTGTAGGTGCCCGTACGGGTCTCTTGTACGGGCTGGGCGGGTAGGGCCTATATATATATATATATATCATTATATATATTATATATATATGTATGTATATTTATATGTATTATTCGGTTTCGGGCCGGGTTGTTATCGAGCTGGGGTTAACGCGGCTGGTGGGGGCTAGGAATTTTTCGGTTTGTAAGGGCCGTACTGGTTCGGTCTTAACGGGCTCGGGCGGGTAGGGGCTATAAATATATATATATATATATATATATTATATATATATATATATAACTTATATATATAATATTAAGTTATATTTTTCTTTTTTCAATGTTTATTGAAACTTTTAAGGGTTAAAATTAAAGATTAGAATTGAACTTTTAAGGATTAGAATTAAAAGAACAAACTAAAAAATTCTAAATTTGAAAATAGAAAGTAAGTGTCTATATAAAAAATATTGAATAAGACTATATAAAAAATTTACAATATTTAAGTAACTTTGATATTTTTATTGAATAATATAATACTTCAAATTAATTTGCAAGTTCTTTTTTGATTTTTTAAATTTCTGAACTTGCAAATTAAAAGTTTACAACAATTGTTAAAAAAAATGAAGAAATAGTAAATCACATGTTTTGCATCATCTTTGAAAGCTCTTTCATGTCAATGTGAGGTTCTTGGTTTCCGGTATTATAATCGGTACCATAAACCATTATATCTCCAATTTCTTGGTCTTCCTCATCATCTACCTCGTCACGCCCTTGATTTCGCCGTTCTAATCTAATCCAATCTCTGAAGCACACTAGAACTTCCAAAGCGTTGCTGCCCAATGAATGGCATTTATGTAATGGCATTTATATAATGGCATTTATGTTGTAGCCGTTTTGCATAAACAGTCATTCTGAAGTGTTGCACCTCTTCAGATTTCAGCCCAACTTTGGCTATAAATACAACACTATTCTGCTCAGAATTTCACTATGATTTTCTGAGTTTCTTCTCCTTCTTCTGCATACTTTTAGCATCAAACAAAGCAAAAGTAAGTGTGATTTGCTTCCGAACTTTGTGTTCGCTGAAACACTGGGGTTTGCAGTACCACTACACCAGTGTGTAATTCGTTCTATCCTAGGAGGAAATAATCCATAACCTTGGGTACTAGGAGGGGATTAAATTCCTTAAGGAAACACTGTGAATTCAGTGGGCTCGAATTTGTTTTCTGTTATTTCTGTTTATGTTCATTTCTGTTTATATTCATTTATATTTCCAGAATTATTTTACAAATACAGTGTACTAACAATAAATACACGAAAAAATTAAGAGGATTAAACATATAGTAAACAAATATAAAAAAAATTACTTATCTACACAATATAATTTATGACACACTTTGGACAAGCGTGGCTCTGCCACTTGTTAACGCTTGTAAGGTCCATTTTTATTTTTAATTATAGAAATGATAACTGATTATATTCGGATAGCTATATTTGGGGAGTAGTATTTAATTTGATAAAAAAAAGATATATATTTTGGAAATGATGAGGAGTAACAATAGTTAACGGGTCCTTCGGGATGTCTCAGTTGGTCCGGAAGGTGGTCATACGTACAAATGACCTGGGATCAATCCCCTTCAATGCCTTCTGGGTCGAGCCTGTCATATAGGGCTTGACTAGTGCACAGTAGGGAGTTTATCCAGTGCGCACAGAGTGCTTATCACAGAGTACTCAATGCCTTCTGGGTCGAGTCTGTCATATAGGGCTTGACTAGTGCACAGTGGGGAGTTTACCCAGTACGCACAGAGCGCTCACCACAGAATACTCATCGGAAAGACAGAGCCTGTGACAGAGGGTATTGCAGTTGCGGGTTTTCCTGAGGTTCAAAAAATAAAAACAATATAGTTAACGGGTTGACGATCATTTAGGATAGCAGATGGCGACCTAATCAAAGTAGCAGTAAAAGCATATTTAGCATCTGTGGCCAGCCACTGTCAGAGCTGGTACTATGATACGTGCAAAACAAGTAAATCCTAAGGAGTACTTTTTGTTAGGTTATTTTTTCTCCAAACATACCGTGTACTGTGTACATAACAATTTGCATTTATGTATAATTTCAGTTTGTGTTTTTTTTAGGAACGCTTGAAGGGATTCTCCAAGCTAGGATATTTCTCATGAATATTTTGTCATTCTGACTCGTACATTTATAGGAACCTTCGAACTTGTAATATCGCCCTACTAAAAGAATGCCCTACTTTGGTCTTGGCTCGCGAAAAAGTTTACCCTTTTAAAGGTTATAAATAAAAAAGACAAAAACTTTGTTCTCTTGGACATCAGCAATCACTATTGAAAGAACAACTAGCTTCGACTCGAAAATTATGATACTTAGGTTTAAAGTTTTCATGGTTTTTGCAGAAAAATTATAGAGCGCTGGAGGGCCATGGTTGGTACTCGGTAGT